TATATATATATATATATATATATATATATATATATATATATATATATATATATATATATAATATATACATATATATATATATATATATATATATATATATATATATATATATATATATATATATATATATATATATATATATAAATGTTTAACTTGATATTATTGCAAATATATCAAAGTTTGGAAAACTTAAAATTGTCTATGTTTTTAGAGGCTTTGCAGTTTATTGGAATCATTTTGTTTTTAATCAAAAGTTAATTTTTACTTATTCACTTTTTTTTACACTCGAAAGTTGTCAAATGCTTTTGAAATGTTTGAAAAAACGAGTTTATTGCTGGTTCTGAAAATTCTATTTGGCATTTTGATTTGAAATAAATTTATTAGAGTTAAAGATAACTATTAGTAGCATCATCTTGATGTGCCTAAGAAAAGATTTTATGAGACAACAGATAGGAAGACTTTGTCTAAAAGATGCTCTCGTATCTCACCAGAGTGAGATACGAGTCTCTTATACTGTACTAAAAGACATTCAAACAAACCAAACTTATGTTTTAATGCACATTGATTTTTTTACTTAAATATTTTATTAGATTTTCTTAAAAGCCTTATACAAAATTTAGTTATTTTTTATCACAACGGATAACATAGTTATTTTTTATCAGAATATTTTTGTCATGTATAACGCTTTTAAGAAATCTAATAAAATATCTAAGTGAAAATATTTATTTACAATCACTGTTATATTTTGATTAATTGATTTTGTTTTTATGTTTAGATGTTTACTTCCGTTAATGGAGAAACGTATAAATACATTATGCAAAATATTAGTCCATTTGCACTATTATCTTACTATATATATATATATATATATATATATATGTATATATATATATATATATATATATATATATATATACGTAAGTGTATATATATGAATAAAGAAAATACGAGTATCTTTAAAAAAGTTATTTTTAAGATATTTTTAAAGAAAAAATCTTTAATAAAAGTTAAAATTGATACAAAAACATATATAATATTCAGGGGCAATTTTACGGGGAGGGTGTTACACCCCCAAAGAAGGTGATTTTCAAGTTATAGTCGGTTTTTTTAAGAATTTAGTCGGCTAGTTGGCTATTTGAGATAATTCAGTTGGCTAAATTTTCGTTTTGAGGACCTTTTTTTTTTTACTTTTAAGAAGCTAGTCGGTATATTTTGAGGGTTCGCCCCCACCCCCTCATTTTATTCGTAGAATCGCCTCTGATAAAATTATGAAACATATTACAATAGCTGTGTATGAGAGTTATTTATTAGCTATCCTGAGGATATATGAAGTAGATTAATGTAGTAATTATTTGTCGTTTTTAAGGTTTGTTGCGAGCTTTGTAGTTTTTTAATAAGAATTTATTTTCGTGGTGGCAACAAACTTTTACTACTTGCTATATATATATACTTCAAACTGCTATATATATATATATACTTCTAACTAAGAACTAGAAAAAAGTTAAGCTTAATTTAATAATGTTTAGTGGTGGCAGATTTAAATTAAAGTATACAGTTTAGGAGCAAAATTGAACTTTTTCAACTTTAAGTTTACAAATCTTTGGAATAACCTTAGAATTTTTTACCTAATTTTGATTTGAAGAAGCTTTTTGGTACAAAAGAAAGTAGGATAAATAAGTTTAAGAATTAAGTATGCTATTTGGGGAGAGAATAGAAGAGTACATTGTATTGGGACCTCGCCTTTACAATGTACTCTTCTATTCTTATCCACCATGGAGTATAATAAAATACAACAAACCGAACTTTAGTAAGTTTACTCTTTACTTTAGTAAGTTCATGTCTAGCAAAAACTGTTCCAATGCTTACAAAATGCCTTAGCATCAAGCCCCTTCGTGAAATAGAGAAAAATACAATTTTACAAGTTCTATTATTATACAAAAAAAGTGAATCTAAAAAATTTAAAAAGAAATTTAAAAAAATTAAAAGTTGAAAAGTTTGAAAAAAAAGTTTCCAAATAAAAATTAAACAGTGTATGTTTTGTTTAAATTTAGTAAGTGTTTTTCTATAGTTATTTGAAATAGATCAATAGATTTTATTTTTTTTAATATTTTTGTTCGGGACAACGCTTGTGGTCCCTGACATGTAATTGTTAAAGATATTAGTGGAATGTAGTAATTACTTATTGAGTGTCTTGTTTACGATTTTCATTTGCATCATAGTTAAGACAAACATTATCTGTTTCTATCTTAGACCTTTTGATTTTGTCAATTTTATCCACTTAACTTGTCAATATTTCTATTTTTATATACTATTTAAAATAAATATGGAACAGGTTTGGAATAAGGATTTTTTTTTAGTAAAAGAAATCTATTTTTTATATTTTCTGTAAAATAATAGTAGGTTTGGCCTTTTAATTACAAGTTCTTACAATTGAAAAGTTTTGAAAAATTGCATCAATCTTAAAACTGAAATCTGCTACCACTAAACATTGAATAATATTCTCAAAATATATTCAGATTTTAATAAAGTTAATAAACGGTAGAAATTTTTACTTTAGGGTAGATTATGTGATGAAGTTTAAAAACACCTACTTTTTTCAGTTTTTAACGCATAACTTTTCACAAACTTTTCTCAAATAACCTTAAATTTTTTACCAAATGTGCTTTATATTATTACAATTCAAAATCCATTTCAAAAAATTTTTTAAACTCACCGGTAAATTAGTTTTAATTGTTTTTTTGAAAAGGCTTCCTTTCATAAGTTTAAAAACAGCTGAATTTGGATTACTATTTATTTCAATAAAGCTGAAATATTAACTAAATCTTTTAAAATTTACAATTTTTTAATAAAATAGTTTCAATAAAAAAGTTAGTATTTGGTGGCATATCCGTTTGCATTTAAAACAGCATCACAGCGATGAGGCATCGAATCAACTAAATTAATGAGAACATCCTGAGGAAATTATACCAACATTCTTTAATCAAAGCAAATAAATTGTCATTGTTGGTTGGTTTTCTACCAACTAATTGCCTTTCAATATACTCCCAAAGATGCTCAATGGATTTGCTGTGAAAGCCATTCAAAAACGTTGACTTTTTTTATTGAAAATATTCCTTAACAGATCTGGCACAATTCTTTGGGTCATTAACTTGTTGAAAGATCTAATTGCGATTCAATTTTTCCTTTGCATTAGGCAGCATAATATTCTTCATTATGTCTACATAAACTCTTTGGTCCATAATACCTTCTATGCAATGAATGCAACCCAGGTTGTCATGACTAAAACACCCCCAAACCATAACATTTCCTCCTCCAAGTTAAACAGTAGGTAATTGATATTTTGGATTTAATCTGTCTTATATTGGACGTCTGACATATCTAATTCTGTCACTACAGAATAGCATAAACTTTGATTCATTGGAGAAAAGGACTTTTGACCAATCATTGACTGTCCAACTGAGATGATCTCTCTCAAATTTTATTCTGGTTCTTAAATTTCTCGCAGATGCAAGATGTTTCTTTACTGGACGTTGAATATACAGATTATTTTGTCGTAATCGATGTTTAATTGTATCAACGCTACAGTTTGTGCCATAAAACTGATGCATAATTAGATTAAGTTCGACAGCATTCATGCGAGAATTATTTTTGCAATACCTTACTAATAATCTATCAGCCTTTTCAGTTGTAACTTTAGGTCTTACAGAGCGAGGCTTGCTTTCAATAGTTTTGCGAAACCTTTTCATAATGTGACATATTCCAGGTTTAGAAAAATTGTAAAGTTAAAAATTGTACAATTTTAAAAAATTGTAAATCCTTTTATAAGTCATTTTTTTCCCCACAGCTTTTATAATTAAGTTCTTTACTTCATCTGAAACTTCTTTAGCCTTTCCCATGCTTTTAAAATATCACTTCGTAATTGAATTATAAAACTTCACAAATAATTTCTCAATTAGTTATACTTTATTGCTTTTGAAATATCTCAAGTTAATTCAAATAATAATTTTCAGAAAAAATTTGTCCTTTTATAATACTTTTGCTTACAAATACCTAATATAAATGCAGGTTATTATACTGTTTCTAACCTTTTAAATAGAAGCCTTTTCAAAAAAACAATAAAAATTAATTGGCCGGTGAGTTTTAAATATTTTGTGAAATGGATTTTGAATTATAATAATATAGAGCATATTCGGAAAAAATGTCAGATTATTTAAGAAAGTTTGTGAAAAGTTATGCGTTAAAAACTAAAAAAAAAGTAGGTGTTTCTAAACTTTTGCACGCTACTATACCCTTACTAAGGTATAATTTTTTACCATCTACGGTAGAAAACTATACCTTTAAGGTAGAAAATAGTCTAACAAATTTCGATTTTCTAACTCATAAGGTACCTTACTAAGTCTATATCATATTTTCAACCATAATTTAGAAACTTCTTTATTTTTTTTTAGTATGTGTTAATTATTATAAAAAGAAAATAACATCCCTTTGAGATAAAATCACTTATCACTTGTTCATCAGGATGATGCCAAACAGTTTTGTCAAAACTTTATCAAATTTAAATATATATATACACATATATATATATATATATATATATATATATATATATATATATATATATATATATATATATATATATATATGTATATATATATATATATATATATATATATATATATATATATATATATATATATATATATATATATATATATATATATATATATATATGTATATATATATATATATTTATATATATATATATATATATTTATATATATATATATATATATATATATATATATATATATATATAAACTTAAGTATGTATGTATGTATTAATGTATTTAATTTTTTTTGCTCTATAAAGGCACTATAATGCACTTTTACTAGCTTATCATTTTACTAGCTCTATAATGCACTTTTATTGTGCTGTTTTATTATTGTGCAGTTTTATTTCTTATTTTTCATATGAATTTTGTTATGATGTTATGTTTTAGCATACAATCAGATAAATAGCACTAAAATTAAAACCTCTAACAAAATATTGGATATAGTGTTTTGGTTTAAGAATATAAGATGAAATATTCAGCTTAAGTGATTATGTGCAGTTACATATTCTGTATTGCTGCAGAAGTGTCAGCTTTTTTATTACTTGTGATGGGAGTTTTATTGCTTATCTTCTGTGATGGAAACTCCTCTTATTTTATTGCTGGCCAGTACGTTACCGGTGCGTTTGGACTTTTTTGTTTCTCCAGCTTATTATTCATAATTATTATCGCATATACTGGTAACTGTGGTGTATTTGCTGATATTGTAAAAACCGGAGTAAGTAGTGAATGGCGCAAATTACGCTGTCAAAATATTTCTCGTCTGCAGTCAAACAGTCAAATTGGCGTAACCCAACCAGTTACAATAAGTGTTTTACCCAACAGTAGAAACAATATATCAAATGAAAACAGTCTGGGTAATTTTGATTTTTATTTCGTTAATATTATTTTATACTTAACTTAAGTGAGCATTAGACGTGTTTGAGACATATATTTAAAACGTATTAAAACGATTTTTAGACGTTTAAAACACGCCTTCTCTCATTGGAACAGTAATTTCTCAACTTACATAAAATTATTTTTCAAAAAATCTTATTGATTAGAAACTGAAACAAAGAAAGCCTTAAAATAGGCTTTGATAAAAAATTTAAATTAAATTTTATGTCGAAATCATAACTTTGATAAATATAACTTAAGCTCTATTTATCAATTGATATTGCTGTTCTAAAGAAACTTTGTTCATAATTTAAAAAAAAAATAAGATTTTTAGCTTTTAAGAAACTAAATAAAAAATTGAAAACTATAGAACCATTCTTTTTGACAAGCAGTACTAATCATTTTTAAAGGTTTACATCTTTATTCATTTTCAGTAACTTAGGTTTGTTAAAGTTTGGAGTACCACAAGGTTCCATCCCTGGTCTTTTATATTAGTAATCTTCCTCGCAATCTCACATCTAAAATGGCTCTATTTGCTGACAGCATAACTATATGCTCCACTCTTGACTTTTTGGTCACATGGAAAAAGCAACCATACTTGATTATGATTTCTCTTTTATGACCGCTTAGAAAAAGAAGAAACAATATATACAATTCATTGAAAAGTTAGCATATCCTAAAGTTGTGTCGTTTTTTTACTCTCGTTTTCAATCTTTACCACAACTTATCTCTTAATCTTTTTGTAAATTTCTTATTTTAAATCTTTTTATTTATCTGTTTTTTTTTTAAAAAATAGCTTATTTTAAAAAAATTTCACTTGTATTCATGTTTGCCTGGCTCTTTAGGTCTTCTTTCAACCTTTTTATTTTATTTGCACTCCATTGTTTTAAATTTTTCTTTAACAGTATTATTTGTTCTCAGATCTTAAGAAGTTATAGGATATTTGTACATTTAATTATTTAAAAGTATTTTTCATATAATAAGAAATAAAATCATTTAACGGAATTATTTTATCGATGTTTCATAATATGATTGGGTCTAAGATTTATGTTAAAAACAGGTATATTGTACAAATGTTTGGCTTAATTTGAAAAAAATTTTTGTTCATATCTGATAAAAGAGTTTTACAAGTTCAAAAGTTTAAATTTTGATATAACATTTTGATTGGAACAATAATCTAAATGTTTCAAGAAATAAATTTTAACATTTTTTCGGTGAAAAATTACTTTTTGTTAAACTTAAATATGGCCACTTTTTTTTTTCCTTTGCCGAAAAATCAATTTTACCAAGGGAGAGTGGGTTATTGACGAACACTTAAGCGGGAATGCGAATTAAAGACACTAGTTATACAAAATTGATTGGAAATTGATTGATGTTTTTTGCTGATCATTTAGTCTAACTATTGAGTCAAAAACCCTTAAAAGCAACTTTTATATATCTTATTATAAAAAAACAATTTAGAGCAAAAATAAAATAAAAAATAAAATTAGGGCAAAAAGAAAAAATATTGGGCCTGTGTATTAAAATGAGATTTACACTTCTTATGACAGGAACTCTTTTATTTGGCTACTATGGATACCTTATTTTGCATGGCGCAGCAGCAACATAGCTATTAAATGAAAAAATTATCACTTTTATATGAAGTGCGACCTTGTTTTGGTACTTATGCCAAATTTAGTGAATATAATACTCGTAAAATGTCTGCAAATGCTAAAAATACATTGTTGCGAAGCAAAGCTATACATCCATAACAACAACAAGTACAACAACAACAACAACAACAAAAACAACAACAACAACAACAACAACAACAACAACAAATAAACATCATATAAGTATTCATGCTAGTTTTAGTGAATTTAAGCCATAATAATTTTTAAATAAAAAGCTCAATTGGTTAGAGCGTCAAACGAAATGTTAAAACCCGGACCGTTGCACGATACGGGTTCAAATCCTGCCACCGACAATTCAGCGCTTGAGAAGTACTTCTGAACGCAAAAATGTTGGTCAATAACGGACGCTATTTTGGATTAGTCTTAATGACTAATCTAAATTAGCATCAGTTATTGACCAACAAATAATAATTAATTTTTGGCTGTTCCTATGTTAAGCCAACAATATCTTGGGATAAAACATTGTATAGCCAACTATATCATAAAAATTCAAATAAATAAAAATAAATAAAAATATTAAATTAGTTATGAATTTCGCTCACTGTCGTAAAAACTTTTTTAATTTTTTTTTCGCAAATACACTGTGTAAATACCTGCTCTCCATCTATATATAAGCTTATATTGCAAATTTTAGCTAACTAAGATAATTGGAACGAGTAGATGTATGTTTTTTTTTTAATTTTTTAAATAATCATCTTTTTTTGCTAATGTATATTAACAAGTGTATGTAAAAAAGCATATCTTAGTTTGTATAATTACTGTTTTATATTATTAGTGTTACTAACTTTAATTTGAGATATTTACAAAAAAAATTTAACAAATAACGCATTTATAACAGTATAATTAAATATTTACTTCAAATTAACAAAATCTTTCTAATGAACATTCTTTTAAATCTTTTTCATGAACAACTAGCAAATCGTTTTTTCTCTGATCCTCAGAGTTCACAAACTTGTGTTTAAGTCTAATGTTTGTTTCAGAACAATCATTTGTGACACTGAAATGTTTCATAAAAAACACAAGTTTCTTGTATGATGGTATTCAGTCTAAACCTTTTTTATTCTGACATGCTTTTAATTAAATCATTTTTTCCTTTTACTATGTTCCAAACAACAAAAAGAAACCTGCTTTCATAGGTAACAAGTACATATAGTTTAGTATTTTACTTATTTTATTTTTAGTTTAGTATTTTATCTTTAGTTAATTATTTTATTAATTAGTTAATTATTTTATTTTTAGTTTAGTATTTTCGTATTCGTCTACTAAAACGGAAAGTGTTTTCTATTTATAAATTTCATTAATGTCAGATATCTCGTGCTCTAACAAAGCCTTCAAAATGTCAGACTTTTGAATTTTAAGTTCAGAATTAGCAAGAGCCGTGACCACTACTTTAGGCAAAAGATACCAGGAGTGAGATTTTAAACTATTTAAAAAGGAAGTTTCTACATTAATATCACATCCCTCCTTTTTGATTTTTTCTACTATAAATGAATTGAAGTAATTTTAGACTGAATGTTTAGCAAGACTGAATTTTAAAAAGCCTGGGGCATAAAATCATTAGACAAGCTCTAGAGATTATAATCTGCTGGTCTTGATTTTAGTAGTTTATACATGACAATGCCAAATATGTATTTTATGTATCTGGAGCCGGCATAATAGCCACAATAAAGGTTTCTGTAGTACTCTTTTATACCAGTGTTTGTTGCTGTATCATCAACACACACAGCAAATACTTGGTCTGAAACTTTAAAATAATCTAATTAGTTTTGAATTACTAAAGCCTGATCAGATACTTTACCTGTGTCACCTAGAACAATTCCTAATTAAAATTTGTTCTTGTGTTGAAATTCAGGACGAGTAATGACACAGTGATTCTATCTATTTTAAGTGTTGAATTTTCTTACACAAATGTGTAACTAGTTTACTACTAAAGTAAAGAGCAAGATTTTTTCTTCCCATTTCCTCAATATTAATCTATCATTTCTATCTATTTCAATCTAATTTCCTTTTAATATTCTAATATTCATTCTAATTTTATGTCCGTGATTTTGAATAACCTCATAACGCTTCAATCTGACTGTTTACCTTAAGTTTTGTTCATACTTACTCCTAGGTAGTTCCTGATACTGGCTATAAACAATGTTTGATCTTGGAAGCTTAAACAGCTTCTTACACTGAGAGGAGTTGTAGCTGCAGTTAGGTTATCTCAAGTGATTTCTTTATTGACAAGGATTCAGTTGAATCGAAGCATAAATTAATTATTTTTTTTTGAGCATTGTTTGATGTAATTTGTTGATATTCATCTCATCAGAATTATAATTACCTACCGTCAATGTCAGATTTGAAAAACCTACAATAATTATAACAAAAAATGAAAATGAAAAAGAACAGTTTGTTCTATAAAGTAATATACCACACGCATGCAAAATATGCAATTTAGTTTTTTGATGATAAAAATTACCTGATTCAGATTTCAACTTTATCTCGTTTGAATAATTTCCGTCAGCATTTTTTAATTGAGGTTTCTAAATGCTCTAAACCTAAGTAATTGTAGTTTTCCTTATTATGATATTGGGCATCTCCATTGGCTTCGATTGAGATCTTTTTTTTTTATAATCTGTATACCTACGGTATCTCTCTTATCTACGTTCAATTTTTGCTTCAAGTTCTCTATCTATATGCCCGCTTATCCCCGTGAAAATAGTCTCCATGATTGATTGAAATTCTTTAACCAATATTTCTTTAGTGTCCTTTTTCTCAACTACCGATTTTCCCTTTGTTGTTCATACCAATTTTTTGTGATCTTTTACAAACTTTAATAATATTATATCTTCTAGAAAA